TCGTATTTTGAATTTACCTATGTAAATTGAACATGTCAATCAATTAATCACAGGTGCGCTCGTATCTATTTAATTGTTGTCTCTTTAAATTTAATTCGTATTTTCTATAATAATTTTCTTTTGTCTACATGCTAAAAACGATTTGAACAATATTATTCTATTTTCAATTTTTCCATTATTTCCTTATTTTTGTTGAAATTTAACAAACTAATTAAATATAAATGTAACTAATTAAATATCCGATAGACTCTTTAAAAGTGCATCGAATTTATTGATTTTAACTTCCTTGCCGTCATTTTTTCTTCTTCTGTGAATAATAGGAACGAAGCCAAGAGGAAGAATCGTAATTTAATAAAAAAGCTTCTTAATCATTTATCAATTTCTGTTCGTTTGGTTAGCAAAGGTAGAAACATTGGCGAACGAAACGCAAGGAAATTCACGAACACACTCTCATAGCTTTTCCTTTTTTGCTTTCCCTTCCCGTGCCTTATTCGACTTCAACGAAGCAAATGGAACTGTGAATTGTTGCCACGATACCAGCTGAATGCACTGAACGTCTCGTGAAGTGAACATCCCGGTAATTACTCGGTTCTCGCAGTTAATTACGATTTTTACTTTTTACCCGTTTCGTATCTCGACGGCAGGAACCGTTCGCTAAAAGGCACGGACCATGTATTCCTGAACGAGCTACCTACGTTGCGAGGAATAAAATGGCGATCGTGATTCGCAATAATTTTTAATTGAACGTCGAGCTGTGTTTCGTCGTCGATTGTGCAACTGAAACTGCGTGGAAGTTTAATGATTTTCTATCGAGTCAGTTTTCTTAGATTAACTTGGATATTTTGAGGAATTTTTACGCGATAAATGGAAATTTTGCATCGAGACTGTGCGCGATTTGTTGTATCGAGATTTTGAGCATTACTTTTTGGGATTTTTAAATTTTCTGAACGCTACTTTTCCACATTTTGCGAGCACTGCTTTTTGAGACTTTACGAGCATTACTTTTCGAGAGTTTGAGACTTTATGAGCGTTATTTTTTTTTGAGATTTTATGAACGTTACTTTTTGAGAGTTTGAGATTTTACGAGCATTATTTTTTCGAGAGTTTGAGCTTTTATGAGTATTACTTTTCGAGATTTTATAAACACTACTTTTTGTGATTTTATGAGCGTTATTTTTCTAAGATTTTGAGATTTAATAAGCACTACTTTTTGAGATTTTGAGATGTTATGAGCATTGTTCCTTGAGATCTTGAAATTTTATGAACAATACTTTCTGACATGTTTCGATTTTATGAGCGTTACCTTTCCGGATTTTTAGATTTTATGAGCATTACGTTGAAACCAAAAATTGAAAAAGTCTATAAATTCTAGCCTCTCAGATATGTATTTAAAATTAAACATTTTCCAGATTTAAAGAAATTAATACCAATCTGTATCTCATCACAACTTCTATTCACAGTATATTTCTCCAGTATTTAATTATCTTCGTTCCATATTGTTTAAATACGTTTCATTACAGCATGTCTGACTAATGACGATCCTTTTCTACTTAATTCGTTACGCACGAAAGTAAACGAGACTGTGCAACGTCTTTGAAATACAGGAACAAGGAATTATCTTGACAATTACACAAGAACAATCCTCACTATTGTACATTAAACTCCATATACCAACTTATGTCAATTTAAAACTGTCAAAAATGAAAATGACAATATTAAATTGCACTTGGAGATGAATACGCAAAGGGAAGCAAAACATTTATTCCAAAAAGTAATGTAAAAATTTTGAAAAAATACTTAATTTCACATTTGTCTTCATAAGTTAGCGGAATAATTTTTTCACAATGTTAACGTCACGAATAATACTGTTAATTTTAAAGTTAACAATAACAATTCCATTATACATTGCATATTTAATATTATACATATATAGTTAATTACAGTAATTCCAAAATTCCGCTAACTTGCAAAACGAAAACAAAATGGAGGTCAATGATAACATACAGGGCGATTCCAGCGACAGAAACGAAATTAAAAAAAAAAAATCGCGGAGGAAAATTTGACGCTCGAGAAGCACTGAAAAATAGCGCAACTTTCGCGTCATAAATCACAAGCCTTAACGCACAAATCCAAAGGAAAATGCATTAAAGAGCAGATTCAAGGAGCCTCCTTGCGTCTCTCGCAGCCATTTCACGTCGGTGAGTTAGTTAAGCAACTGTTGGAAGACGCACAAACGTTCTCAGTTGCATACGCAAGAGCATTATTCTCTTGTATAATGTCACGTAACTGGTATTCCAGCTCACGTCGACGATTTCCGCGCCGCGTCGACGTATCCAATTTCCGGCGGCCGCCGGTTCACGAGAAAAAGGAATCTGCATTCCGATATTTCCGATGTCGTTGGCCAGAGTGCCGTCGAGTGTCAGGAAATGATCGTCTCGGACGATCGAACAGCTCGCGGTGGAAAAAAAGGCGACGCTCTCCGATGGCGATTGAGAAAATTCAAACCGGAAAATTTTATCTCGCTACCGGCGCCGCGGCGGTGGTAATATCGATGCTTCGGGGAGATCTGAGTGCTTGGGTGAAAGGTAACGACGTGAAAATTGTAATATGTTGCTCTTTGTGTATTTTTTTCTCACAATTATGACGTAACGATGGGCCTCAAAGCGACTCTGATTCTTTTCAATTCTTAAATGTGATATTATACGTAATTGAATTTGTTTATATGGAAGCGTTTTGAAAGTGATGTATTTTTTTCTTTTCGAAGACAGGGGGCGAAGTGAAGCAATTTTCTTTATTATTTTATTTGAGGTTGTCTTTTTTTCGACAATTTGTGTCTGATCTTCCTTAATTTTTACATTCGGTACTATTATTATATGTGGTTTTAATCCTGAATCACTTCGTTCGAATAATTTTCTGACGTTTCGTCTCTGCTTCGAGACATTAAACAGTGATTACAGGAAAATGAAAATAACTTTAAATCAAACTCACGTTCGTTTTTCTTTCGAATTTACGCTTGGAAATTTTTTCAAAATTTTTTGACATAATTATTCATAATGTAGTCTTGTTTGGAGACATTGGACAGTGATTATAGAGAAAGAAAATGAAAATAATTTTAAACCAAATTCACCTTCGTTTCTTAACATTTGTGCTTCGAAATTTTTTCAGTGCATCGACTTATCGAACTCTCCTTAACCCAATAAACGATGTAATAATAATTACTTCTGAATGGGTAATATTGGATGATTGCAAAAGTTCCCGATTTGAGAAAAATAAAACGCAAGCGGTGTGTGCAAGGACACATTTCGTTCGAAAATGAAATGAAATGAAATGAACAGTTATTTGAAAATAGAACACAAGCGGTGTGTCTTTCGATAGGAACGAGGTTCCCGCCATTTCTGAAAATCGAGCACGAACTTTTGCAATCATCCAGTACAATGTAGTTCTGAGGAATGAAGATATACACCGTGTAGAGTGTTTCCGACCTATAGGTTCGAAGTTACTCGTAATTTCAGTCAAGGATGAATAAATATTACGCTTTCCAACGACACTCTACACCATAAAATATCCCCTAAAGCGTGTACCCTGTGTGCAATTTGTAACGAAAGCGTGGAATGATTATCCCGAGTGCGTGTCGAATGCTCTTGAAATCTCGATACAGCTTCAAGCTTTCCGCATAATTGCACGCCTAAATAATTGATGAGATAGCGGTCCGGAATACAGTAATTAGTGGGTTATTCATGAAATGTAATGGAGTCAATTCCAAAGTGCTATTGAATGCTTCGCCGCTGAATTCTGTCCTGCGCCTCCTGTTGCAAGCTTGTTGGTTTGGAGTAAAACAAACGAAAAGAGGCAAAATTCCAGTGAACTCGAATGCTGTAGCAAACACTCGAGAGACTTGAAGAAAAATTGAAAAGGCTGTAGGAATAACTGATAACTGTCCGTCAAACAAGCATCTCTAAATTAATACCTAACAACTTCAAATATTTTACAATTTAAAAATAAAACAGCTTCCTAGTGAATTACCAATAACAAATTTAATCTTGATACATTTGCATGCAATACTATATTTCTGAGGCAAACAATACTCGGTTCCTGTTTCCTGGAAATTCCAAAAATTTCCAGGACTCTGAATTCAATAATTTATGGAAGAAAGGAAAAAATTGTACCTTTATAAATTGGAATGTCCAAAATACTTGAAATATAAACAAAATTTCAGCACGTAAATCAAACCTGTTTATGTGTAAAGAAAAATGAATGAAATACACGTTGCAGTAATAAAACAGATTTCATTCTCGGAGAGCCTTTATCAGTCATCTATCCTCGAAACCGACATATTGTGCACCGTCAGGTCTGTTTGATAATGCATTTTAATCTAGAAATGGATTTATTTCGAAAAAGTACTTGGAACTGAAGAGAGCAAATATATGAAGGTCGAACGAGATCCAGAGAGCATATCGAATACAAAGAGTTCGACAAGTGGATAAGTCGAAGACGTTCAAGATCACTCGATGATAACGAGTTAAATTTAATTACAACATATATAGCACAGTTTCGTTGAGAACTTTGATCAATCCTCAAGCTCAATCTACTGATTCTTCAAAATCACATCGACAAATTATTAATCCTACCTTGCATGCTCTCGAAACAGTTGCTTTGCAAACACGACGCGGTTTCGTACTCGTGAGAGTAAAAAATGTGAGGAAAAAAATTGGTTGAGAAATGAGATTACCTATTTAATCACTCTCTATGAAGAGAAATCAGAAATTTTCACTACTTTGCAGAAGAAATCCAGCGTGAAATGCACACATAATTTACGGAATCAGCTCTCACCTCACGCTTGTACAAAATTCGTCAACTTACACTGTTCCTCTATCTCTAATAGTTTAAAAAATGTTAGACTAAATATATTCGCTGCCTCCAACTATAAGGACAATTTTCACCCCTTCATTGCCAATAAAAATAATACACAGTCGGCAACAATAAAGAATTAAAAAACTCACCGATACAGCATCCGTTCTTGTCGATCGGCCTCCCTGTAGATCTTGTAATACATCGCGATCATGATGATGCCCGGCACCCAGAAACTGACACTGGAGCTGATCACGGCATAGAGTTTGTTCACTTGGAACACGCACACATCCGGATAATTCCTGCGGAACTCGAGGTGCTTCTCGGTGGTGTACCAGCCGGCGAAGATGGGCAGGAAGCTCATCACCGTCGGTGAGCACCACACCACGCTCAGCATGGTGCTCAGCCTAAGATTCGTCATGATCAATGGATAGTCCAATGGCTGCACTATAGCGTAATATCGATCGACGCTTATGCAGCACAAATGTAGAATAGACACAGTGCTGAAGAACACGTCCAACGAATTCCATACGTCGCACATGAAGTAACCGAATAACCATCTACCTGACAGTTCCACCGACGCGTTGAACGTCATTGCGAAAATAGCGACCAGCATATCGGCGAGCGCTAACGAAACCACGAAATAGTTAGTAATCACGCGAAGCTTTCGGTGCCTCATTACGGACACTATTACCAGCAGGTTGCCGAAAAGAGCGCAGAGAATGATGAATACCATGACAGTGGCCTTCATCGCCAGAAGAAGAACTTGCTCCAGCTCGTGGTTGTTTCTGTAATCGTAGAAATTCGTGGAACGATTCGATTGGCCTGTGTCGATGAGGACATTGGACAAGTCAGGTAGATCTGTAGCGTTGACAAGCTCATCGTCCATCGTTTCGTTCAACTCCATGTTTGCAAGATCGAACTCCTCTTTCGCCAGGCTATTTTTCCAGGATCTCTTTGGAGTTTATTTCGTTACCGCGATCTACGCCATAGCTCGTCACCCTCTTCCTCTTCTTCGACGTCGTCGACGACGAGGCTGACAGGAAGTTCCTGCCAGGCCATTGATGCACGGAAGTTGAGTTTGGTTTAGTTTAACGACAGAGGAGATCGAAGAGTGCGTGGTTTTTAGACGAGCTCCGAAAGGTCATCTTCGTGGGATTAACGTGAAATACAGGTGATTTGTTGATGGACGTCTCGGTGAGGTTAGTTTAGACGAGAGATTCTTCAGACGACACTTTGCAGACGTTGCAGGTGATAGGTCGTACAGATGGATTCGGTGCACGCTCCTGGAGAGCTGCTGGGACGAGGCGCATCTCCGTCTGCCTTTTCGACATCGTGACTGTCTGAAATTGGAAAATATGGGGAGGTGAAGTCGACCAAGTTGCGTATCGAGGAGGGAAGAATCTTTAATTCCGAATATTGGCTGAGGGATGGTAAATGTTTGGTTACGGACGTACGTATCCTTTTTAAATTTCTGTTTATTTAAGAACATGAAATAAAATATGCTTCTCCGTTTATAAATGCTAAGTGTAAAGTTGTTACATCTACTTTTACCTAAGATAAAATGTATTTACTAAAAATGGAAGAAATTACCCGGGAAAAACTAGAAAACCTCCGTTAACAATTCCTAAAAGAGAAATTACTTCGTTGAGGGATCTAGAGGTTCGCATTTAAATCTATACAAATCGTTACAGTCTAGATTTATACTTTTTCTCCAATTGAACAATTTCTCTCGTATCTTTCAGAACGCAAAAAATAATCGTTCTTTTTATCAGACACGGTTGTTAGCAATTCTACAGCTTGTGACACGATTCGGAATAATTGCAACGGTGTACGCATGCTGGTTTGTTCGTTTCGAATCGCTGAATCGCATCATCTATGCTTCCCCATCACCGAGGAAATTAAATTTCGAACGGAACGGGATTACGTGGGAATTGCCTGAAACGATACTTTCGCGAAATATAAATAAGCAGCGTTGATCGGTAGATCGGCGATTTTAAAAGGATTCTGACGTAAAACAAATATTGTTTAACACGGTTCGTTAGACCGTCGTGGAAATTCAGATTATTGCGATTCTTCTTTGTTTTCGTTGAACTTGTTATCTCGTATAATTGCAAGGAACAGGTGTAGAAATTTTATAACTGTAAATTGTAAATGTATTTTTCTGAAAGAAACGTGGTATCTGCAGGATTATCATTCTCTGGTACAAGTGTAATTGAATATTTTTAGTAATTGAATATTATTTCTGACAAGTGCATTTTGTTGAAGTGGTGTAATTCGAATTGTTCAGGAAAGTTTTTGTAAAAAACTGGAAAAAGAAAATCATCTGTAATCGAACGAGTGTTGCTTCTGAAGCCATAGTTTCCACCAAATCTTCTGGGAAATTAAAATTCAACCCATATACCATTCGTAGAAAGAGAAAATGGACGAAACTCGAACGACCTGTTTACTTATCTATTTCTTGTGTTCGATTAAGAGTTGATCTATGTCGACGATTTAATTACATTTTCATTGCAAAAAAAAAATAGCTGTCTGAGAAGCTTTAGGATGAAATAAAAGTAAAATATGTATTGCATTAGCTTGAATTGTTTTGAAAAGCAAAGTTGGATTTATTTTTCGATATTAGGTGTATCGAATTATTTTGAAAAAATGCTAATTTTGATATTCAAGTTTTGTAGTGACTTCTCTTTTATTTTCTATTTCCAGGAATATATTTTCATTTTTTCCTTTGATTAACACCGCCGAAGTTCGTAAAACATCACTGTCTCTTCTGCTTCTAATTAAATACCATTACCAGTTAATTACCACTAATTATTTCCTTCAACATTACATTTCACCCTCCCATCGACACTTGATCGATCGTTCGCTCGCTCAATTAAACCCGTCCATTTTTCACTCACCCCGTCGACACCTTATTTCAAACAAAAAGTAAGTGAACAATTACCGGGAACGAGGGTATGACTTTTTAAAACCTTGCTGCGAATTATGCATCGTTAAATGTCACTCGCTGCTCCTCCTTTTCCATTCGAAGTTTCAACTTAATTTGGAGAGGTTCGGTTGAAGGAGAGCAATGAATTGTGATCTCGCTAATTGTTGAAACTCTCGAAAAGCTGCATTCTGAGATATTGGAACAATCTTCTTACAGTTCTGACTTTGCACCTTCGAATTATCACCCGTTCGAATCACTCGAAACAGCTTCAAAAGGGCGAAGATTTTCCAGCAATGAGCAGTTGAAGAATGGAGTGCATGCTTGGTTTATTTCTCAATAAGAAGAAAAATATTTTGTTCACATGACATGACAAAGCTTGTGACGAATGGCGATGGACCGAGTATGTTGAACGTCAAGGGGAATATGTTGAAGAATAGTGCTACAGTGCTTCGGTAAAATTTCCAACTTCATTCTGGACAATTATTGTTTTTTGGAAATTATAATTTAGAAAAATATAAAATTTGCCAATTTACACCATTCCTGTGTCTCCAATAATTTTCCAGATATTAGGCTAATTATGTTTACCACCCTTATCTTTAAGGATGATTTTCTCTCCTTCACTGTGGACGATTGGTGAAATAGAAAAATACGCGTGGAATATTTCTTGAGAAGTTTCTGTACCAAAGTTTCATAAAAATTGGTAATTTGTTAGGATCGAATTTTACATTCTTACTCTTCTTTTTGCTTAATTTCTCTACTTCTTCTTCAACCCCTCGTTTCTTCCTGCTTTTCTTACCTTCCTTAATCTATTGCATATAGTTTTCTAATTTGCAATACATATCACGTACTATTATGGGTTTATACCCATAAATAAATAAAATGACGAACCTAACCTTAATTTTCTGTACACAGTTTGTCAATTTGTAATGTATGTCACGTGCTATAACGAGTTTACACCCACAAATAAATAAAGAAAATACCGAATTTACTCATTTACCCCCGTACACCGATTCATCTAACGATATCTTCAGTTAAACAAGTCCACTGTCCCTGTTAAACCGTGCAATTACATTTTTGCTGGTAGTGAACGTTGAACAAAAGCCGAGAGATCGTTCTGGTGGCTATTCGCAACGCTATTACGCTGATCCAGCATGATAATCGCGGCCGAAAATTTATTCATAAATTCCATTTCAGTCTTGAATCTCATTAATGAAGCCAATTACAGGCGGGAATTAAATCGTCGACGGTTAATCAATGTCCACAGAACGAAATGTTGTGGATTCTCTCTTGTTTTTCATGCGGCTCGGCGAGTTTTTATTCTCGCCGAAAAAGGGAAATATCGTCTCGCTTATGTGTCATTCCGTGGCACGCGTGAAAATATTCTGCGTGAAATATTATATGGTTTTATGAGACGTGTGAAAGTAAGAAATATTTTTTTTTTTCTTTTTTAAACGATCTTCCGCAGAGAATCGAGGGAATTTCCATGAAATTTTCCTCAACAGACATTTGACGAAAAATCTTTTCGACAATTTTTCAAATTTAAGAAACATTTCAAATTATTTATAATGGCATTTTTTTATCGATAATTTGGTGCATTACAAAGTATTATTGTGTATACTTAAACACGTTCCGTGCCGCGTGGGTCGCATTCGCTCCACTCTGGTCTTTCCGTTCAGGCCATCTGATATTTCGGCCTTTTCCTTCCGCTAACTTAAACTATGCAACTACGGCGATAATTTGTTAAAACAAAAATTTTTCCTTCGCTCTGTAGCATATCTTAAACGTTACCCTTTTCTCGATAACAATGAGTTTTGCAATCTTATAAATATTGGAAGACATATAGGGCGAAAAGCAAAACTGTTAGTCTCGACAATGTGGGACGCATACTAGTCACCGAAAATCGGTCTGGCACGGAACGTGTTAATATAAAAGATAGTTATAGAAAATGCATATAAAATAGAGATACTTTGCATTAATACAGCGATTTGATTTTTTGGTCATTTTTCATGCTTGGGGAAATGATTGAAATTTTGTTATAAAATTTCAGCGATTAAAGAATTTCTCGTGATTTATTAAAGTGTCTATGTTGTTTTTTTTTTTTTGGAAATTCGATATTCCCCTGAGAATGTTTTACATTTCGAAAATGGGTATCAATTTATTTCCACGAAATAACTCAATCTTGCAACGACATTTAACCCTCTGGTAATTTACAACTTTTGGCAACGTTCACGTTTCCATCGAAAGCTAAATAACATTTTGGAAAGGTCCTAAATTCTCTCCCTTGACTATCTATTCGACGTGTTGTAAAATACGGTGTGTTTATTTCAGCACGATAGTTCAATTCTGTAACAGTTCTCAATCACCCCGAGAGTTGTTATCTTTTTACCACTTGTTTTTCATTGAAAATCAAGTTTTTCCCCGGAGAAATCTGGAATTTGATCGCGAATGATTTTTCGACACCTCGTAAAACATTGCACGCTTGTTTTTCTGTATTAATTTTCTTCCTTCAAAATTGCAATTTAAAGTTCCGATGATTTGAAGATTTATTTATGCCCAAAACAAAATCTGGATCGCTCGGGAGCAAGAATGAAAATTTATGGTGATTCAACTGTTTTACTTATTTATTCATTTTCGGGTAAAAACCGGTCATAATACCGGAAAATTGAAGAGAAGCCAATAAATTGATCAACAAATTTCCAAATCCAAAAATCTGATTAACAAATTTAATTTAAGTTTTAGAAATGTAACTCTGTGTTTTGTAGAAAATTAAGAAACAGTGTAACAGAAAATGAGGGAAAAGGTGAAAGGAAAGTAAGAAAAACAGGAAAGAGCAGAATGTTGAAAGAGAAATCAACGAATTAATTAACAAATTTTCAAATCCAAAAGTCTGATTAACAAATTTAATTCAAATTTTACAAATGTAATTGTTTGTTTAAAGAAAATACTCTTTATCCAAGTTATACATACACGCGAATCCA